AGAAGACTTAAGAATTGAAGGAAACGTTCTTGAACAAGACAACTAAGGTAAACGATCAAGGCAATTTTTGCAAACTTTACCTCCATGCAAGAAACACGACCATTGAGCTGCTCCTATCCTACAGAAGGCAGAATCAGTCTACCCTTCCTTTACTGTCTGTTCTTTGCTACCTCGTTCGTTGGTAATATCTTCATCGTCATAATTGTCTTAAACACGAAAAGCATGAGAAAACCGAACAACTTTTTCATCGTAAACATGGCCATGTCCGACCTGCTTTATTCTGTAATAGTATTTACACGGAATTCAGCGATGTTATATTTCGACAGCTGGTTAACCGGTGACGGTCTTGGAGAGGCGTTGTGCAAGCTGCTGCCCTTCTTCTCGAATGTTGCCATTTATGTGTCTACACAGAGTGTAGTTCTGATAGCAGTGGATAGATTTGGAGCTGTGGTTTTCCCTCTCCGTTCCCCGCTAATTAGTTTAAAGATGTGCCGAATCTTCATCCCTAACACCTGGATCGCCGCCATGATCCTCCAGACTCCAAACTTATTTTACAGAAAACTTGTTACTTATCCAGGAATGATAGCGTGTAAGTGGGAGTGGACCAAAACTGTTGGAGGGTTGCCCTCCATTAAAAACTACACTTTGGGACAATTCATTTTATTCTTTTATTTTCCATTAGTTTTGATTACCATACTTTACATGATCATCATTTTCCGCCTCAAGTCGCAAAAGTTTCCAGGTGAGCAGTCAGTCAACGCAAGAGAGCGTTCAGCGAGAGAGCGAAATGTCCTGAAGATGTCTTTTGCAATCGTGTTGGCGTTTGTGCTGTGTTGGATTCCCTTCAGTATCTACTGGGCGCTACTCTTGCTTTCATCGAACAGCACTATGATATCGTCTTGTGGCTTCAAATTCTTTTCGATTATTGCCTTCTTACTGGTTCTCGCATACGGTGCGATAAATCCTTGGATTTGTTTTATTTTTTGCAGACAATATCGACAAGGTCTAAAGAATCTTTTTGGCTGTTGTTTGCCTGGCAGACCTCTAGGCTAGTAAAGTCATACTGCAGTCGACCGAGAAAAACGCAGAGGAGTTTCGCTTAACTTCGCTCTGTGATTAGCTCAGAAAACTCGCGCCACTCTCTCAACCAAACATGTGCAAAACTTAACCCAATCACGACTTGGCCACATGCCTTTTCCCGCGCTTTAGACGGTTGGCTTGTTATTTCTTTCTGTTTACCTTCTGCTTTTACGATACTCAATCGAAAAGCGCTCCATGCATTGTTTTTTCGATTTACCAATCACTTAGGTTTTCATTGAAACTATTAGGCAATAACACTGAAACGCGAGCGATAATCTAGATTTTATTTTTGCATCACGACGAACCTTGGTGTGAATTCTCCTTGGTGAAAAAGTTGAACACAGTGCCAGTCAATATCAATTTTCATCAGCTGGAGAGTTAGCTTTACAAGGTCAAAATCAATGTTTCGGTTTACATTGACTAAAACTCCGCAATTTTTCTTAACAGAAGTCGGAAATTCTCTGAAGAATCAACGAAGATTTCCGAAAATAAGATTAGGGATAATACGAGCGGTGCAAATATCTTTGTAGCCAATAGTTATCATGAAAAGTGATAATAAAGGAAATAAAGAGTAAAACAAATATGCTTAATCCATGACTGCATTAATCAGGTGCAAGTGCTTGGACTTAAAAAAAAAGAAACAAAACAGTCACGTTGGTTTTCAATATTGTAGCTGTAATACTAACATCACCGCTGATTGGATCAAAAGGCGGTCCGTGTTCGGGATGAAAGTAACTTGTCGTCTCCTAAAAAGATTGGTTGTTTTCATCATATAGCCAAATAACCCTTACTTCATCAAAAAGCAAGTTTTAGGCAGTTTCACAGTCGTGAACCGAGTAAACGGCAACAAGCATATTTTAACGTTACCATACCTTTGTAATGTCTTCTTTTCCTTCTGGCCACATATCTTGGAGAATTTTGTGCGAACTGTACAAAAAGGTAAAACACACAACAAACTTTCTATTATTTAGTGAGTTGTTCATTCCAACCACACTTCCAAAAGACAATCATTCTGAAAAGTTTTTTTTAAGGACAGTCGGCCAATCTTCTGGCAAAACTCGCATACACATTATACACTGAGTAGGCCGAAGTGCGACCAGCGGCAGGCCAGGAACGCCGGATCTTCCTCGCTTCGCCCCCCACAGAAGGAAAGAAATGACTACGTACGAGCTAAAATGACTTCTCTTGATTATCAATGTAGATGTGCGTGCTGTCAAACTACAAGCTTAAGGCGCCTGAAGGCGCGCGACAGTTTAATAAAACAATACCAGAAGAAGTGCATATACCTGTTGAATAGGAGTCTTTTGAAATCTTGATACAAATTATCCTTGTTTTTGTCCAAGAAATCCACAACTGAATATCTATAATTAAAAAAAAAAAAAAGAAAAACAGCCAAATGATCAGTTAATCGAAGATGATCTCTTCTCCGAAAAATCGGAAACAACTTTCCACCCATTCAAGAACGTGTTTCTTATTTACTTTCCCGTGGAAGTGGCCTCTTCACCCTCTCTCTCCCAGTAGTAATAGCCTATTCCTGGCCAGAAACAGCAACTAGGGGATGTTACTTTATTCAACACCAAAACTCTTATAGCAGAAATTGAAAGAACATATGGCAGACAGTACGGAGAATCGATTGGAGAGGCTACGAGCTTTCGTTTAGAGACAAGTCATCCCTGATAGCATCCCCATTCAATCAATGTTTTGATCATCCTTTGATAATGACTTACATCACATCTCCTGCATAATGTTTGATGCAGAAATGCTTGTGAAATTCCATTGCTTTGTTTGAGGGGTCAGTCTGGAATAAAAGAGGTTGAAAAGTAAGGTCTCAAGAAAAGCAAATGAGAAAATGGTGACCTGTGTCCAACTCTTCAAATTGTTAACCTTTGTACCATGCAGTGATTTACATGGCTCACCCAGGATTGTAGATAATGGTGAGGTTTGTAGGAAATAGATTTATGCTAAGGCTCAAAATTTCCCTGAGCATGGGTGCAAGGTTTGTCCATTAGCCTACAATCCAACTCCAAAGAACATTTTCGTCCTAAATAAGGGGGTGTTGCAAGGTTTACCAGCATTTAAAAATAGAGCCTATTTTCATTTCATTCGAATCCACAACTTGTTTACTTGTAATTGTCATCTCACCAGCCTGCTCTTATAGTGGTTGTGTTTTCCCAACTTTTGGTCCATGGTTTGTAGCAACATCTGTAAGAATAGGATCAACAGGACTTAGACAACCCCTTAATATCCTAAGTATAATTCACTGAAAAAAAATTACTTAATATCATTCTTGAAAGACACTGGAAACTTGGGAGGTGATTGAATCTCTGCCTAACCTATGGTTCATGCAGTAGCACCTCTACAATGGTACACTTTGAGTTTTGCACAACCCCCAATCAATGACATTGAAAACCTCTGGCTTGCTTTTGACTAATTTTCTATAGATTTCATGTTAAGATCCTCTGTTGTCTAACATTCATTAATTCCTGACCAGAATATACCCATCATTCTATATCTAGAGTAGAGAACATACCATATCAGACACTTTACCGATGCTCCTGCATCCCTCATCCATGATTGAAAAAACACCTTTGTGGTTTTGCTCAATCAGGTCACAGATGATCTTGTTGTTGAAGTATTCAATCTACAATATCAATAAAATCCAAGCAACTCAACATTCTCATATCATGTAGACTTTTTCACTATCTATAAATGTTATTGATATTGTTTAGTGCTGCAGCTACATACCTCCTCCCACTGAATTCCTTCTCGTTGGTATTCCTCTTGTTCTTGTTTCAGCACCAGTTCAATAAACAGCTGTTGAAGTTTCTCATTACAGTAATTGATGCATAGCTGCTCAAAGCTGTTGTTGTCAAAGATCTCAAAGCCATAGATATCAAGCACTCCAATCACTGAACACTTTCCATGAGTCACTTCATCGCGCAGTTCAGTCACATCATTAATCCGTCCTACAATCCATGTGAAAAGACGATCATATATGGCCTGAAAGAAAAACAATAAAATCCACCAATACAAAATATGAAAAAACTTATAATGTCTCCCTAGCTACTCTTAAATAGACTGTCTTCTTTCCCTAGAGGATTTTCCCTGGGTTCCTTGCTATTTCACCCTTTACAACACATTACACAACACAGTCTAACTTGGTCTGAGGTATTTCTTGAACTCAATGCAACATGGACAGCTATCTTCCCTATAGATTGACTCACTGGTACACAACAGTTCAGACAAAAAATAAGCCTGCAATACAAGTACATTGTACCTTAGCAAGAGCATCACGTCCGTGAGATGCCTCCTTAGCATGGTGTCCTTTGTCCACCACTTCAGAATTGGCTGCAACCACTCGGTAACACAAAGCCTTTTCCACTTGCCTTGGCTCAGTTCCCAAGAGAAATGCAATGATGTTGAGTTTTTCACTATTCTTTATGGATGCCTGTTCTTCATCATCATCAACAAACTCTACATTACCCTGAAGTAAAAAAAATGGCTGCATTTTTCTCTGTCATTTCCTACCACATTATATCTCTTTAAAACAGGAAACTCACCAAATGGAGAATTGCTGCAACAATTTTCCATATGGTTGTCTTTTCTTCAGTAGAGAAGCCCACAGAGTTCATAGCTTCAATATTAACTTTGTAATCCATTGTGTCATTTATCACCTTGACCTGTAAGAGGATTAAAACTTATATGTGAGCCCAAAATGGGACAAAATAATGAAATACTGTATGCAGACATAATAGTCATTACTCAATTCCATAAACAAACCTGATTGGTTGATAGGACTTCAATGACCTGGTACTAGTTACAAGCATGGATTACAAGTACTATAAAGTCAGGAGCTATAGAACACAAGTCAAGTATTTTAATCAACTAGACTAGTAATGTTTGTGAATAGAATAAGAGAGATAGTAAGACTAGATGGTATATTAGTAGTATTGCAATGTAACAAATGCAATAGGCTCAAGCTATATACATTCAAGTAAAAATTCTGTGTTCATACCTGTGTGCATCCTCCTTGATTGGCAAAGTGATAACTTTCAGCTTTCTCTTGTAGATACAATTCTTTTAGGGTCTCAGGTGGTGCTCCATTGAGTAACTAGCAAAAGCAAATGGTTGGTATTACTGGTAGAGAACTGGAAAAAGTTTGAAACGAACAAGCATCTATAAAGATCAGCAAACAAATGCCACAGCCCTCAAATAACAAATTTCCTTTAAAAGCCTGTGGAAATATGATGTGTACCATGACTTCATGAGGGTCCCTCGCTGAAAAGAAGGGACTTTTCATAATTTAGTCCATCTCACGCAAAAGAAGCAACACAAATTAGATTAAATGACTGTGAATATGTGAAAATCATATAAGTGAACTGCTGATAAAGACGTGAAAGCAATCTTTGCAGTAATGAACACTACTTGAACTGTAAAGTAATGAATCCTGTAAAGGCCTGAATTTTTTTCAAGCCTTATTTTCATTAATGTTAATTCAAGTAGTGTTCATTACTGTGAAGATCACTTTCATGTTTTTATCTGTAGTTCACATAAATTATATCATTTTCATATATTCACAGTCATTTATTCATCACTTCACGGGTTTATATGGAACCAATATAATGACCAGCTCCCAGTTGGCTTGTTAGCTCAGTTGGTAGAGCACTGCCCTGGTATTGCAGAGGTCACGAGTTCAAATCCCTTACAGGCCTGTATTATTTTTACTACTGCTCAAGTAGTGTTCATTGCTGCAAAGATCGCTTTCAAGTCAACAAATTAGACTAACATTGAAAAACTAGCTTATCATTTGGGTTGTGAATTGAGGGGCATCTTCCATACAGTAGACATTGAATTATCATACAATGGTATGCATGAAAGCCTCCATTTACAAACCTGGTAGAATGAATGGAAATTTCTCTCCCCCTCCTGTTGTTTAACAACTCTGGACTGAAAAACAAAGACAAACAGAAATTTGATAAATTAAGGAAGTGTATCTTCAGTAAGTTGGATGATGATTTCATAAGGGCGTCAGGAGAGAATAACAATTAGATGCCATCTACAGGAAAAGCTTGTCATGGGTGGCTCTTTTTAAGAGATCCTCAAGCTGGCTCTGTGTAAGCCTGTGACTGCAAAAAATCAAAATATCAATAAAAGGTTTCCAGATTTGAATATACATTATGTAAATTCCAATTAAGCCCTTCATGAAACCCTCCAGCCCCAAACCCAACTTTTATTCCGACATGTTTAAAAGGTGGGAACTATAATTTACATATTATATTCTCAAAGCTAGAATTTCTGACCAACAGAAGACAATATATACCCATAAGCACTGATCAAAAATACCAATAAAAGTATTGGCAACTAAAAGTTTTCGATAATGAACAAGCAAAGAAAATGTTCAAACCTTTTCTAGGAGGTAATTAAAAATGTGTCCTCCCACAGGATCTCCCTTGAAGTCAAAGTCAATGTCCATGTATTTTCCAAACCTACTGGAATTGTCATTTCTTACTGTTTTAGCATTGCCAAAACTCTCTAAAATTGCATTGGACTTCAAAAGAATGTCCTTAACCCTGTTGAGATATACAGTATAAAATATCACTCAAAACATACCTAAACACTAAAGCAATTTTTACTAATAGAAATGTGGTGGCAGAATAGTAGTATTAAATAATAGAGGAATCCTCTTCTCACTGGTGCTGCTTTGTAAATATCTTGCTGATTTCTCAAGCAGTCTTGGAAAGTCTAGTCAGCCTACTTTGTTTGCCCATCAGAGTTTAAACTAACTTGAGAGGTGTTTAAGGGGTCTGGCATGAGCCAGAAAGCCCTCAGCACACTTTGCAAAAAGTCTGTGAGTACCTCTGAATGAGAAAAAGCTCAGGCTGCCAGAATTTAGCCATTGGCAAACATTCTGCATAGTAGCCCGAGAGTTCTCCAATCTCCCCTGCCTTATAAACACACTATAGCTATGAGGTTTAACCACCAAATTAATAGTTAACTACAAAAGGTCTGATTTTAGCTCTCGGTGCAAACACATTTAAATAATATAATCAACCTGTGGTAATCCACCATTTGTTTAGCAATAAGTTTCTTTGATTTTGAACATTTTGACTCTGTTTGGCTTTGTTAATATACATAAAAACTGATCTACTGAAAATGAGAAATCAGAAAATTACTTACTTTTCAACTTCAGACTGTTTTGAAACATTTGTAACAGCAGCAATATACTTCATGATAATTTTAGAAGCCTCAGTCTTCCCTGCACCACTTTCGCCTGTTAGAAAATATAAATTTAATAATATCAAATACAAAGTAAAGCTTAATTAGCATCAATTGTGACTAGCTGTAAAGAGAAATACAATCCATGCAAAACCTCTTTTCTTAGCAGTTTGCATGTAATGGCAAGTGATACTTAGAATGTTGATGGGCTCAATACTCCAAGGAAATCATTGAAGGGACTTCTTCTTCTCTTCTTTGAGCCACACACAGTGGGAGAGAGAGAGAGAGAGAGAGTAAGAAGAGATTCATTAATTAATCTGATGTTTTGGACTCGTACCCTCTAACCAGCCTCTTTCTGGATTTGACTAAGTGATCCTAGTTTTAACCCATTCACTCCCACAATCTTATTAAGCAATTCTCCTTACTACCCGTCATACGATCCTTATGATTTTAATTTGGAGAATATGGTATTTTATCATTATGACTTATCTCCTGTGATATCATTTTGTTATTGAAAGGATAACCTCTATCTTGATCACTAATGGGATTTCAAGGGTTAACTAAGAGTCATGCAGCTAAGTCAATGCATCCTATCAGTTAAATAATTATTGCTTAATTAATTAAAGCCTCTTAACATTCATTTAGGGAATTTAACTTGAGGTTTACTTGTACTGGTCCTGAAAGCCCTATGGGGTAGTTATAGTGTCTTTAATTTTAGTCTTGACAAAAAAGAAATATAGTGATTTGATTGTTTAGCATAACATTTTGTGAAGTCTTCAAACAAATTTTCTACTTATCTTAAGCCTTTGACACCTGAAGAGAATCATCAATGTTTAAATTTGTATTAATTTTAAAATAACTTGTCTGGAAAAGAAAGGAAAAAAGAAAGGATAAAGGAGAGAAAAAAGTAACACTTATATTTGATCAAATTTAGGATTAATTTCTTTCAACAGAGCACACAAAAATTGCTCACCAAGCTCAAATGAAATCTTTCATAAAAGACACGAGTTCCTTCAGTAGATTTCTAATTTATTTCAAACTATTGACTCCTTTCCACAGAAGATCAGTGTGTAACTTCTTGTGAAATCATCCATGACCTCTCAAGTAAAGAGAGTAAGAAAAAAAGGGATCAAAGGAAACACTTTAATTCTGATATTTTTTATTTCAGGATTGATTTCTTTTGAAGTAACACAATAGAAATTATTTGCTGATCTCAGCTGAAGTTCTTTTAAAAAGAGATGACATGTCAAAGATTATTCACGATGAAACGGTTAACAAAACCTATCTTAAAAACATGTACACTCCAAAATTTTATTAACTTAATAAATTTGTTCTCTCACTTAGGAACCATCATTTAGCAGCTCACATATTAAGAGAGAAGTCAAGAGCATTTTTATTTGAATTTATAATCGTCAAGGCTTTGCATATTTATTAAGCACCGAAAAAATCCCCAATAAAGAGAATTTCTGAAATGTCTTAAAATGACGTCAGCCAGATTAGATCTCGAAAATTCAGAAACCGAAAAATTTCAATAGTTTTAAAGTAACTTTTCGCTTTCTCGATAGGCACCAAAATTGCTAACCAACAAATTACACAGAGTTCTTTGCAAAGTTCAGGTCTAAACTAAATCAAGCGTTAACGTTTTACAGCCGTACGAAAATTAACAAAACATTACCATGTTGAATTGTAATGTATGCTGAAGGCATCGCAGACGTCAACGAATTAACATAAACAAAAAATTAAACTTTAACATTAAAATTTTAACTTTACTATTCTTAGTTACGACACAAATAAGAGGCTTCCGAATTCCATTCAATTAAATTTCCAGTAAGAAAAAATTCACATCTTGTTCCGAAAGCGCTTCGTTACGTATCGTTTTCAGCTTATCTCGAAAGTAACTAGGTTTCAAATCTGCATAATAAAGTCCTATATTGACACCTCGACCTCCATTGTTGCCCTACATAGTACAGACAACAAACTCACCAGAAATAACGATACAAGCGTCTTCTGACCGCCGTTTCATCGTTCGGTAAGCTGCATCTGCCAAGGCAAAAAGATGCGGTGGTCTCTCGTACAGTTCTCGCATCTTGTATTCTTGAATTTTATCGTTTCCAAAGATATTCAAAGTCTTGTACGGGTTTACTGAAATAAGCACTTCTCCTATGTACGTGTAAATTCGCTCCTTTTGAAAACGTAGCTTGAGGTTGGCCATGAAGGCTTTTTCTGTGATTTCATCCAAAAGGACAAAATCTCCTTTGCCATACTCCAAACTCTCTTGCTCCGCCATACTTGTTGATGTAAAAATTTTTTGTAAGGTGCGGAGTTTTCACCAACAGATTTAAGTTGTCAGGGTCGAACGTTGTGATTGGTCAAGAAAATCCCTTAACCAATCACAGATACTGACATATTGTGCGTCGTGACCCGGTAAAGTGGGCGGGAGAAATTCAAAACACGATGAAGACGAAAGTAGACAATTTTTTTAAATGATATGTCTTCGTTTCCGGTCAAATTATGGGCGCAGCTTTTCCGACGACTTAAAAAACTAATCTATCACGTAGTTTTACAACAATAATTATAAAAAATAATAATGACAAAAAACACGTAAAAACATATTTTTTCGTCAGGTATCTTTATCAATTAATTGTTTACTTTCAATGATTATCACTTCAATCAGTTCAAACCATATATGTAATACATAGTTCAGTACGTATTTGAGTATTATACCCAAAAAGGTTATTTTAGTCAGATCTGAGGGGACATGATATTAGCTGTTCCCATATAATCGGAACTGCTTTCTATATTTAACATTCAGTAAACCCCTCATGGTAATTTTCCGCATTTCATAATTACATATTTTAAATAAACGTCCTTTGACTAAAGGTGTCTCATATTCTTTGAATAACGTCCCACTTAATTCTCGACGATGCAAATCAAGCGACAAAATACTGATGAAGACATTTTTTAAAATCTCCTCTGTGAAATCAACTCTTTTAGTAAAAAACCTACAAGGCTCCGGGATTTTCAACATGATACAAAGTGAAAAATTTCAGTGCCCTCTATATACGACGAGTTACCTAATTTTCAGTTTAAGAGCATGCAAATACGAAAATTTGGGTGCAACCTCTACACAATTTTTT